CTATGATTCTATGATTCTATGATTCTACCTGTCTATCATGGGCCCTTCAGTGAAATAATCTGGACCCCACTTATTTTATGTGAGGCCCACAACTTCAAACCCGGTGTCCTCATTCCTCTGTATCAGGAAGATATGAGTGTCACAATGAATCTGAGGAAGTAGATCAAGTTGACGAAAGCTTATAGTACAACTTTTTTCACACAGTCTCAAAGGTGCTACAAGATCCCTTTGCATAAGTGGACAATGTATATAGTAGCTTTAAATTTCCTGGAATTGATCACAACATTGCAACTACCTGACCCTGTCATTAGGGCTACCAATAAATGCCAACATAGGGGAGAGGTCCCACCAAAAGGTGTTTAGGCCCAGACCTTTGACAAATTCACTTTTGGAATAGAAATCCTTGAATCTGCCAGCCAATTTCAATGTTGGCAGGACCAGGCCCTCAACCACTGGCTGTGAATGCAACTGAGTCATGGCTGTTTGCACACTTTGATGGATTCTGGTTTAAAATCAAACAGGTGCACCAGAGTTCAACTGAGTGACTGAAAGATTAGCCAAGAAAATTACTCAGGATACAAAGCACAATGTAATCAAGTCTTCGATTCCTCACACTCCAATCTGTGAGAAGTTTGTGAAATCACACACACAATGAAAGTCCCTGAGCCCCTTTCTTTTTTGTTTCTCCATTCTATATATAAATATAGATTAGCTCTTAGCCATAAGACCAAGGTAGTAAAAAGTGATTTAACTCTGACTATGTTCTCCCATTGTTCTATTTATGCTCTGAAACCCCATGGCAGCAAAAAGACATGATATTAAATAGAAATAATACTCCATAGTACTATAGTCCATCACAGGTTTCTCCTAGGTGTTCAGCAACTATTAGATTTTGTCCACAACAGAATATTGACTCAGCCTGAAGGACTTTCTGTGCATGCATGTCTACAAAATGGAAGTTTAATGATGCCCTCAGTGTTTTCAATATGGGTTTTATTTTTAATGGAATATTATTTTTTTAGGCTGTGGATTTGAGACACCATACTGCAAGACTCCAGAGGCTAAAAAGCATTCCATCCCTCTTATAAAGCTGAGAAGTATGACAATAAGAATGAAAAAATAAAATGGATAAAGGCACCAGTATATAGATAACATTTCTTCTCATCTCCTTTTATCCCCTGCAACAGCCTCTCACAAGCCAGAACCCTGAAAAAGTGTTGGACTACAGCTCCTACCAATCCAGACTATCTGGCCACTGAACATGCTGGACTTGTGTTTCAACACATCTGGAGGGTGGCAGGTTGGGGAAAGATACCCAAAGAAAAGCTAGCTGCTTTGGACCATGGGTGAAGGGGAGTATGCAAAACAAAACAAAACAAAACAAAACAAAAATAAATCCAGAAATTTAATACCTTTATACCAGTAAAAATAAAGTAGCAGTCCTCAGCAAGAAATGATACCATTAACATTTCCAGCAATTAATGGTTTGACCAGAGTAATCAAGGTTACTTTCTAAGTAATTAGTTATACATATAGTTCCAGTCTACCCAAATAACTACTGTTATAGTTGCTCTTTCAAAAGTATCTTTAGTTTCCAATTAGTAGTACAGTTACTTTTTATTTAAATTCTGAATGTTACAAGTCCTTGGCCAATAGTACAAATGCAGTGAGCCACAACAGAGCATAGCCAACAATTGAACCACATGATAGTCCTTCTCCACCAGACAGTGAGGCCATAACCTGGCACTGTAAAACATAACAAACAGTTGCAGGTACAAACTGAATGATGTTATTCCTCCTGAAGTTAAAACTGTAATATAATAGCACCAATCTATTATTGGTAGTTATGGGTTGGGGGAATAAATAATGATTTGTAACTTTGTTTTTGCTGCCAAGTTAGCTACCGCTTAATGCCAACCTTATGAATGAGAGCTCTCCTGTAGTCATCAACCATTATGCTTAGGTCCTGCAAATTCATTCTGTGGCTTTGCTGACAGAATCAATCCATTTGCAATATAGTTGTCCTGTTTGCCTACAGTCTTCTACTTTATGAGGCATTACTCTCTTTTCTAATGAATAACATCATCTCGTGATATATCCAAACTACAATAGTTTCAGTTTAGCCAGTTTACTTCTAAATACTGAACCAAAGAAGTACCAAGGTTCACCAAGTGTACATCAAGCAGAGAAAGATATCTAAAACCATCACCCTACCAAATATTCTTCCCTACCCCTCCCTCTTTCCCTCTATGTTGCCATTGCAGTTAAAGTGGAATCATAACTCTATAATTGTGCAGTACGCACTTTCATGGCAATGGTTACATCCTATCAAATCCTGGAATTTGCAGTTTGGGGAGAAGTACTTAGAATTCTCAGCTAAAGAGCTCTAGTGCCTCACCAGACTACAAACCGCAGGATTCTATCGGATGTTGCCATGGCAGTTGAAGTGGAATCTTAATACAATAATTGTGCAATGTGAAAGGGCCCTGAGTGATTAACAAGCAGAACTTAATAAATACATTATCAAAACATTTGGAGTGCTACCTTCCAAGTAGGTGAAAAGAGTTGACTGAAAAAGCTGAAATGTTTTACTAATTTGTTTTACTAAGTAGTACTTGTTAATCACTCTAATATATACATATTGTTGATGATTAATTTCATCCTTCTGGGATCCAGAACAAGCATGGCAGGGCTGTTTGTTTTTAAACCTCTCTCTCTCTCACACACACCCATATACATATATTTATATATACATATTGTTGATAATTAAATGCATCCTTCTGGGATCCAAAACAAGTATGCCAGTGCTGTTTGTTTTTAAATCTCTCTCACACACATATACACATATAGATAGATAGATAGATAGATAGATAGATAGATAGATAGATAGATAGATAGATGATAGATAGATAGATAGAGATTTATATAAGTGTGTGTGTGTGCATTATTTCAAACAAATAAACATCTATCTAACACATACAAAAACCTAAAGATATAAACAATACATCCCAATACGCACATTAACAACATTAATAAAATGTTTACAAAACATAATAAAAATGACTTCATAAACCTGTAGTGCTTGGTTATACCATTGATTCTATTATATATATAAAAAATACTTTTGTTTAGAAAATTGAAAGTAATTCCTCATCCTCCATCTTTATTCCATTACCAAGTTTTCCATTATCTTAAACCTCAAAAATCTAACTCCGCTGTTATTCTTGTCTGGTCTTTGTTCTTTATTAATTCATGTTGAATATTGCTATTGCTATTGCTTTCTCTCTCTCTGGCACCCTCTCACCCTCTGATAGATATAGATATAGATGTCCCAGACCTCAAGATTTAAAGTCAAGTCAGTTGAGCCCACATAGGGGTAAAACAGTTGTACTCAGGCTTACTAACTTCAATTACGTGACAGCAGATTTCCTGCAAAATAACCTTATCCAAATGAAACCCAAGGAGGAGCACCTCTTCTATCTATCAGTTAACATATACAAATTACATACAAGTCAGTTTTTGTCAGGGAAGGAGAGGATATTAATTTCCTCATTTCTGGAGGTGCATCAGTGGCCAGACTTTTTGGGGGGCCTTATTCCCAATAAAAGGATGCCTGGAATAAAGGGTCTTAAAGTCCAGTGATGTGAGTAGGATCGTGCTCTTTAGAAGGAAGGATTAAAACAGAAGTCTAGTTCAATGAAGTTATGTGTTGTTGTTCTGAGAATGCATTTTAGACAAAATAGTCAAGCAACCAATAATTAAAGGCATGCAAATAAGTTA